AAGATATATAAAAATTTTCATTTTCGATTTTTTTGCGATTACTATAACTTACCCTACGGGAAGTTAATTAATTGATTGCAATATAATTTGTAAAAAAAATCAATAATGTATGAGCAATTCTCATCAACTCATTTGCGAACAATTAAAGTTTCAGCAAGGTACAAAAATTGAATATCATATAATTTTTGAATATTTTGTTTTATCTAAAATATGATTAATCATTGTTTTTAACAGATTATCATATTTTAATCATGATATAGGACGAATGCTATAGCATACACACAAGCTTCTATTTTACTCCATGTTCATGCTCAGTCTAATGAGTGGTTACAAGAAATAATAATACCTAGGAATGATTTCTTTGACAATTGCAAAAACCGGAGGTTATATAAAATTCAAAGTAATTGACTGTAAAACGTGAATGCTATAGCATTCATGTTATTCTGCATCACAATGAAAATGAATGCTATAGCATATTTGGCCTTGTTACTTATTCATTAAGTGCCGGGTTATGAAATTAATGTAACTTTTTATCATTTTGCCCATTATGCCTTTGTACAATCGAAACTTTATGTTGTCTTTCAAATGCAATTGTTTCACTAAATAAGTTTCTAAATTAGCCTTTACTAAATAGAATATCCGCAAGCCAATTTTTGATATTTATATTTTTATGTTTTGAGCAATGAGAAGATAAGAGCAAAATTTTTTTGTTACATGGATTTTTCCTACCTAACTAAACTTCATAGTTTTCTTATCTATATTTTCCATATTTTAAATTATACTTAGAAACATATTTTTGATGTATTTTTTACCATTACTGCCTGATACCAGATACCTAACACTAAGCGAGAGATTCGTCGGACAATATTTTTATTTATAAATTTTTAATGTGAATTAATATATTTTTAAAATTGCAAATTTATGGTTGCAACCTTACTGCTCTTTGATATGAATATGATCATTTATAATATGCATGTCTATATTATAAAAAATAAACAGAAATTAGCTTATAGTTGGCCAAATGTATATTATTGTAAAACAGTGACTAATAATGCATAATAACAACTATTGCATAAAACACAATATAACAAACATGCACATTTGATATGAAATTCTAGCAGAAAACAAAAACATCAAATATTCCACATAACATCGAGTTGAAGCAATAACAAAACATCAAGTATGCGCATAAATACATATTTAAATAAAAAAAGAAATATTGTACAGAAGTTTAAAATAGCTTCTAGGCTACTAATAATGTAAATATTACTAGAGAAATAGTTTTATTTAATTTACTCACTCCACACCATTAAATGATGAAGTTGTTTGGGAATATAAATGACATTTTTTCGCGTACAGTCAGTTGTTACATATATATGATTTATACGATATGTTATAAATAATATTTAGAAGGAATGCGCCTCCGGATTTTAAGAAAATATACTTAATAATAACTATATAAAGATTCCTCAATACATCATTCATGTTATTAAAATTCTAGTTCTGTAATATCGATATTTTCTCCCCAATTTTTCTATTTATATGTTAAGAGTCCAAATAATATGCTGGAAAAGTTCGATGCCAAAATGAGAAAATTATGCTTCTGCAAGCTCACATAAAGAAAACAGTCTTGTTCCATATAAAATTCACTTAGCATATATTCATTGAAGAGGTTTGCTCGAATGTATTATAAAAATAATTCCGGAAATGTTTTGAACAAAGCGCAATATTCTAAAACAATTTTATAAGTAAATGAAACTATATAAATTGCATTTTTCTATTGAACGGTATCTTTTATAAACTCCAGGGTTATGTACAAATGGGTTAATTTTATGTATTTTTTTTATTTTGGAATAGTTTTTGCTAAAATCTGTCATATTCAATTAAATTCAATTAAATTCAATTAAACTTATATATATGTAACGTATAACAATTGAAATTTTTTCCCCTATGAAATTGTTGCTATATTTATATATTTTATTCAGGTTTTATAATTATTATTTTGATTGGCAATAAATCTATGCAAATAAAAAAAGATTTTATAATTAAAAATTAATTGAAGCCGGAATAGAATTCCATTAATTTTAAGTGTATAATAAGAAATTAGAGTATACAAGAACAAATTTAGGTTTTGAACTAAATTTAAAAGTGAAGCACATTGATCATTATGGTTCTATATTACAATTTTTAGTAGTAGTAATTTTAAATTTCATTTTTATTATCTTTTTTAATGTAATAATACTTATCTAATATTCTGATATAACATCAGTATTAAGATTATAACCTACAATTTTTACCAAATTTGAGAGCTCCTAATACGCAGTACAATATTCCCAATTTTAGTAAATTTATATAATTACTAGCACTAGCACTACATCTTATTTTGTAAGATTTTAGCAATATTTGAGCAAAATTTTAAAAAATATTGGTAACATTTTAGTTGTAACTAGTGGCGTATGGCATCGTGCCTTAAGGAAAATTGCTGGAACTTCCGTACCGTAACGAAATGTTCGAGAAATATCAAATGTTTTCAAATAGATTATTATAAATATTGTAACATTGTCTAATATTTATAAAAATTATATAAACGGAATTGCAAAGCTGAAATTATTTGTTTAAAGTATATTAAAACTTTAGTTAGAATTAAAATTAAAATCTGAATTATTTTCGATACACAAAAAAATTAAACAATTAAAAAAAAAATAAAAAAAAAATGATACAAAAATCAGATACCATTCATCAGATAAGTTTGTATATAGAAAATGACATTATGATTATTTTCGCGGATCGCATCAGTCATTATCAAAACTAATCAGCTTGTAATGTATTAAAAAGTCCTCTGAAAACCATGCAACATAAATGGCATGACGAAATTATTTTCACATCAAATATTTTGAAATACAATAGAGACATCGGTTTTTGCCTATATAAAACATTTATATTCCGACTCGTATTGTTGCAAAATGTGAAAATTGATGCGAGTGCATCGTTGCATCGCATTGCGCTTTGCAGATATTTTGTTTTTACGGGCTGCATGATTCAGGATGGCGATTGCATATAATACTATTCTGCTATCGGAGAACCATAAAATTCTGCATTGCGCTCGGTGCTCTTCTATTGCTTCAAGTTGTTGGGAAGGAAATTGATTTTTTGTCTGCGACATCGATTTTTTTACAGATTTCATACGAAAAATGAAGATTGATTTTCTAAGAATAGGTTTATGTATTTCGTTGGGAGATTGAATTTGTTAGTAGATGATAAAATGTTCTATATGCCAATATAATAGAATAATAAGTAAAAATAAATTACATTATTTTAACTAAATGAAAAGTCCAAGAACAAGTATACGATTCGATTAAATTATTAAAATTTGTATTTGTAGGTTATTACTCAAGTGCAATTCATGAACGACCTTAAAATATGGTCACGATTCCTCTAAACATGGTCAATATGTAAACTACTTATTTTCATAAAAATCGTGACGATAATAAGGAAATAATGTTTTTTAAACGTCGAAAGGTACAACATTAAGAATCTTCCGCTAATGGCCCAGATTTTGGAAAGGTTAATGATATGTTAGATCATATAAATATAGTGCCCAAAGCAGTAGGTAAATTTTTTTTGAACCAGATGAATATTACCTACAAATTATATAAATTGTGTTTCGAAATATTTGAAGCAGAACTGATGAGTTATAAAAAGCAAAATCATTGTAGAATATGTATGTTAATCATTGTATGTTACTATTACATATAAGATAACTTATTTATACTAAATTAGTTGGGACTGTTTAATTAGACAATTCAATAAAATTAAAATAATAAAACAATGATATTATGAATATCTGATGAGTAAGTTCTTAAAAAAATGCTTAATTTCGAAGAAATTTATTTTTAAATATATACAGCTTTAATTCCGTATTTATAAAAGAAATGTCCGTCCCTTATCTTCCACATTAATGTATAAAAACCCAAATATTCGCAAAAAGAATAGTCCGGTCAATTTACGTATTAAATGTTACAAAAATTCATAATGGGCTGTAAAAGAAATCTTTTACAAGTCCTCATCATTCCGGCACGAGCTAGAAAATTGGCACAAAGTAAAAAATCAAAAAATTAATTTTTTTGGTAAAGGTAAAGAATCATTCAAGCAATTTCACCAAGTCACAGCCATTATAAATTACTGTAACCTTCGCCCTGATTTTAGGTCTAAATTGACCGGGCTAGAAACTTATAACTTATTAACGTTATACTACTAAGTCCTTTAGATTCATATAATATTCTGCATGATTTCTGTACCGATCTGTTGAATTTTGTAATAACTGACTGTAGATTATCTAATAAGTTCCTTTCGTTTATCATTCGAGATTAAGTTTAATGCAAATTTAATCATCTGAAAATCGTAAACGTTCATCACGCAGATCGTGAGTTATGTGATTTTAACTTTTACTCGGTTATTATCATCCGTCATTATCTAACTTTGATGAAAAACCTTGAGGTTTGTCTAATTGTAAATGAGCGATTGTTATGTGATTTATATTTCAAGAGAAGGTTTAATTTCAGCAAGGGCAAGTGGCAAAATCTAGTCAAATAAAGTAAATTATTGTGTAAATAATAATAATAATTGAATGTTTAATAAATAATAATTTATTAATGTTGATGCATAAAATTTACTTCATGATTCATCTGACATTGTTAGTATTGCATATTTTTTTAAATTATCTGCACATAAAGCAAAAAAAAATATCTCTAATAAAAATTTGAACTCGAAAAACTAGAATAAATCTGGAAAGTAATTATTATATTAAATCTATAATTCAGAGTAAAGATTAAAAACATTTTTTAACAGACACTGATTATTGATAAGATAATAATTTTATTAAATGGTAATGCAAAGGAGCATCAATTTACTATGCTATATTTTTTATACGTTGAAAATTATTATTATATTCCAAAAACATTTGAGATTTTTCGAAATATTTCCATATAGCTATCACTTACCGAAAGCTACTATTCGAGAAATGCAAGCCCACTTTAGGAATAATCTGCAATAAAATTATAGTAATAAGTACACATATAATTTTTCCCTTTAAAATATATTCATGAGATATGCATGAGTAAAAAAAAGAGTAAGTAATTTAATATCTTAAATTGGATGTAAAAATGTAAGATAATGAATTATTATTCAAAACTGCATCACATAGCTACTTTGCTAATTATGTATTTTATGAATAAAGTGATCAAAGTGAATAATTTAAATTTTAAATTTAAATAATTTTAATTTAATTCAATATTAAAGACGATATGTAATTATTATTTCCTGATTATAAACATAGTGGAAATATGTTTTTATCTACAATTTGGAATAGGAAGTCTATTTAGAAAATAATTTTATCATTTACAATTTCCTCTGTGCGTTTTTTGTTTTTAAGAATCATGGCCACTTTTATCGTGAGAAGAAAATATTGTTTAACTAAACCGGTCAAACAAAACAATTGAATATCATTCATCCATGCAAAATATGTCAAGTCATTTTTTTGCGTCACGCTTCCATAGATTGTGTTTATTTAGGATGGCGTTAAATATTTACTTGTGATATTGAAAAAAGGTTGACAAATTGACCTTTTTTGAGTTCACTGTTTTACGGAAGGAAAAGGAACAGTAAATTATTCTGTAAATATATGTTTACTCTGAAAATGTTTTTTGTCCAAGCGTTATTAATTTACGTGCAAATTTTGATAGAAAATAATTAACATAATTTCTTATTTACGTCAAGTAAAAAATCATCAAAAAATGCAATAACATTATAGCATTACGTGCTATATAATAATTATTACAAGAGTTCAAGTATTGAAAATACAACTCTTATCAGTTTTATAATTTTAAGTGAATTCTACGTAGCCGAAATAAACATCGAAATCAAATTGCACTTTTGAGATAAAAACGATATGAATATTTTAAATAAGAGATATTTTTGTATAATTATTTCTCTAAAATACAGATTATGATTATATGAGCCATATACATGCTAATGAATTCTTATTACTAATACTAAAAATGTATATTTTTATATTATTATATAATTAAATTATTATATATATATATATATATATATATATATTTAAATTATCATATAATTTAACTAAAATCTACAAAAATATATCCATGTGGAATCTTCTTTACTATAGTATATGATTAGGAAAGTAATCTCCTGTACTTGAGTGTACAAAAAATCATGAAAATAGGAACATTAAATTTTTGTATTTTCTTTAATTTTCGATACTTTGCAAAACATTCTCATTTTTGCAACTAAGTAATAAATAACAATAAAATAAAATGTAATACTTTACTAGTAAGAAAAGGAGAATAATAAGTGTATAAATTGGATATACACAAAGCGACATTTCAGTACAACAATAGTAATTTACTTGATCATTATTTAGGGACCAAATCTACGATTAAATATTATTTTATAAATTGGTAGTAAAAACTGTAAAAATGAACTATTACAGTGTATTTTCTGTGGAATCAAGCGTTTTACACATAAAACCTAGGTTCAAGTATGTGTTATCAAGGACACATTCGAAAGATGCTCTTATGATAATATTGTTAAGTTAAGTTTTATATGTAAAACGCCTAATTGCACAGCATATACACAGCTTTTGGACAGCCTTTACTGCAAATCATATAAAGCCCAGATATAGACCTTATACTATATAGACTGCTGGTCCTCATATGTTTTCCATTGTATAAAATGTATATAGATTGAAGGGACTGTGACATCGCTTGCTGTGACAACGAGCGTTGACGACAATAGTGGAACTCTCCCGATTGATCGAATGTCATATGCCATGTCATATGTCACGTGCCAAACCTAAAATTAAATCGTGTGCTTAAAATTGTTAAATTAATGTGAAATGCAGTATAACACTGGTTCCTGGAACACTCCCAAATGATTAAACGTCATATGCACAGACCTTATATTACATAAACCGATTTTAACAGATGGACTCGATTCTATATACATTTATTTAACAGGAGAAATTATTTTTTTATTTCATCGTAAAATTAGTCCCATATTTTAAAAAATGCTCATCCCTGCCAAAAATATTTATAACTTGCTACGGTTATTTACATCCTCTTCTATAATTTTCTATTAATAAATTATGATCTATCGGAAAAGTAAGACAGTAGAAGTCATTAATTTATGCATAAATTGAAGTGCTTTTAGCGTAAGCCGTAGTATCTGCGTGTAATGCAATAATGTAGCTTTGCCTGTATAGTATGCGATTTCTGCTATACTTACGTTGATATACATATTGTTAATGCGGCATATAGTTTCCCGTAGTCTTATGGTTGAATCGAATATCCATTAGATATTCGGTAATGTACATAATGTAGTAGAGTGAATTATACAAAGCACAAGCTCTCGGTGCACTAAGTGCTGTTCGCATTAAAAGCGCATCGCGAGAGCTTTGCCAGTATTTGGATCGAACTATTTAATATTCTAAATATAAAATTGATTATTCAGCATTCAATTCGATTACTAACATTTAAGTTCATTTTAAACATTTCAGTCGTAGAGAGTTTTCTCTGCCGATACAGAGAATCTAAAGAAGTTCACTAGTGTTATCATCGAACGTTGTCTTCATGGCATTCGATTAACTTGAAAAGGTAGTGTCCTAATATTAATTTACTTTACTATATGTTTACATTGAATACATTCGCATAGATTATAATTTATATAGATATCAAAGAGATTTAATGTAATTCGGAAGGACTTCTATTTTTATTTAGTCTGTAATTTGGATATACATATATGCTAATAATGATTATTACGGATATGCATGTTGTCGTTTATATAAATGATTTTCTATAAAACTTTATGAAATATAGTATAATGAGTATTTAAATCAAATCTATAATTAAACCCTCTTTTAGTACTCTCTAGTACCAATAACAAATAATAAAATTCATATAAAAATTTAAAGTCTCGTTTTTTTCCAAACATTCATATTCTCAAAATATCATTTCCCAGCAAACTCTTTCCGTGTCATGTAAAAATTTCGAAAGCGTCAAATTGCAGGTGCTGTGGAATCGGTGAATAATAAATCACATTTTATGTTCAATTCGCAATGAACCTATCTTTTCTATTGAGTCATATTCTGACATTAATTTATAAGTGCAGTTAGCTGCGAATGCAACTTTATTACTTTGTGCGAGTCACTTGAAATTATTAGATGGGCAATTATTGTCAGACACATTATTTGTGGAAGTATTGGGAAATGATTTAAATGCACAGATCCTGAATGTATTATTTAAAAGAAATTGTTACAAAATAAAAAATGAAATAAATATTGCCTAATTTTAATATATTCGTTATTGTAATGTGTTAACACATAGAGAAATAATAAACTAAATGGAGAAATAAACTTTTAGTAAATACTATTTGCATTTTTCTAAACTTTTAAAATTTATTTTGTACATGTAAATTCTTCTATTAGTAAATTAATTTTGATAATTATATAGGCACATTTGTGTATGTATTTTTCAAATAATAATTTTCTGATTTTTATTTAAATATATAAAATATCTTTAATTATAACTCATTATGTGGATGCAATAATGTTATAATTTGGTATGGAGTTCAATGAGTTATATTTACACAAATATTTCATAACAGAGAAATTTAACTGATATATGTGATCTACCAAATGTGTTTTTAGTTACAAAAAAAAATATAAACTAATTTTTTATTTAATATTACATGAGGCAAACATTATACTATGTTTGAGACAGAAACTATTTCACGAATTTCATTTAGGCGTTTGAGACCACAGTCTGAGCTGCGGTATCCACTTAACTGTTCCGGAGGGATAGAGAATCTTGCAAATATAAATCATTTCTATGTCCAAACACAGATGATTCTAATTTTAACTTGAATACAAAACTGGAATAAGAGTATATTTTCTGAAAAAAATATCCTTTATTACCTTGCACTTAAATAAATAATAAAAAAATGAATAAAATTTTCATAAATATAATATATATTCTTATAGGAACGTGCACTAAAGTCAAGTTGTTAAGATGCTTAAATATCATAAAATGTTTACCGAACATCCAATAATATTTTGATACATAAAGAAAACAGAACTCGATTAGTAGGGTTAATAAAGTGACTAATAAAGTGATTAATTTTTCAATCGTTAATGCAGTTATTTACAATATTAAATATAAATCATTTCTATGTTTAAAAATTATTGAAATTGTGTATTGAAAACTTTCATTTACCAACATGTCTCTATAGTATACAATGTCCCTTTATGGCTGACAATTGTAAGTTCCCCAAATTTACTAAATGTCCTTAAATGAACAGTTGTAAATAAAATAGAGAATAAAAACATTCATTTGTTACAAAGCTAGTTTTAAAAAGAGTTTGTTTTGTTTCGAAATCAAATCCTTAAAGTTTAAAAGTCTGACACCAATTTATTTTACGCCTACATAGATATTGCAAATAGCTGACATCAAAATATCAAGTTCTATAAAACCTTGAAAAATTACTTGTGATATTACGTACAATTGAAGAACTAAGTTATGAAATTTATCATTAATAAATGAATGTAATCTTGTTGGATTATAAAGTATTTTTTACACAAAGTAATACATACGAATTTCGATGTATATTTATGTATCAAAAAGCTAACATATTATATATGGTTATATAAGTTTCACACAGACAAATACGAATAGTCATGAAAATCCTTATAAAAGCTTCATTATTAAAAAATGTATTTAAAGATGTAATCGTATTCCAATTCAAGACAATATTGAAGTATCTAAAATTAAATCTATGAATAGAAAGATAGACAAAGTTCTGAATTGCAGCATCATCAATTGAATAATCTTTTTAAGATTTCATATGTTAAATTATATTGCAATGCCATAAAATATTATATTAAATTTACTCAATAAGATATAAACATGCCATATCTTATTGTCACAAAATATAAAAAAATAATAAGATTCTATAATTCTATATATGAAC